TATCTATTGAGAAAAAATCTCTCAAGATCTGAAATTTTAAATTTTATCACTCACTTACATATTTAAAAAAGAAAAAAAAAATCTAAAATAATTCTCATAAAGCTAGGCGGTTAAAAGAAATATAACATAAGTTTCTACTTCGTTGTATCCAAGTCAAATGATCAGTTACTGTGTAAACACTATATTATTTGAATGTTTTATTCAAATTTTTTGAATTATTTTTAAAAGGGATTTCATTATCAATATGTTACTAATTACCATTTTTGAAATGTTTAAATATTAATATCATTTTGTTTCGTTTTTGAGTTTTTCATTAATTTTTTAAACAAATATTAACAAGTCCTATGTATCTTTTTCCATGGACGATAAAGGCTTTTTGTATTTAACAAACATATTTGTATTGCGGTTAATATTCCTTATTCATTTTCTTACGTTTGAAACTTTCTTGTAATAATTATTGTTATTTTTGTACTTATAAACTTAGTATAGTGTTCCGGCCTTTTGTTTTTAACAATGGCAGCGTGCAAATTGTTAGATATAGTTTTTCCGTTTTCCATAGCTTACCTTACAGAAATTCAAGCCTGCTTGATCTCCATATGAAGGCAAGGGAAATTGAAAATGACAAGCCGTGTGGAAATGTCGGCAATTTACACCAAGGATCTTATCTTTCCCTTCTCCTGTTCTTATATTTTAAATTTCGATAGCTCTCGATCATTCTCCATCGAATTTATCATTGTTACTTTTCTTGGTTGCCTAGAACCGACCACCTAGAATCGATGGGGGAATTCTTTGAGAGCTCATATCGTATTTCATTCCATACCCTGCGTTTCGTTCTTTGAGAAATTTTTCCGATAGCTCTTTTTTGCTTAAGGCATTTTTAAAGATAAATGCAGTTTTATCTCTGGTGCCATTTCTACGTTCTTCGTAGTTTTAAACTTTTATTTATTTGACGCAGTGTGAAATTATATTTAAATGGAGAAAATAGCCGATTTAACTCCTTCATGTTGTGCGTTAGCAATACCATAAAGTTCTCCTGAATTTATTTATTTTGTTTGATAATTTTTAAACTAGCAAGCTAATTTAGCATAAAACAAATATCCTTTTTTTTTTACAATTCGTCGATTGAACTTTACTAGCTGACAAACAGATGGTAAATAATTTTTTTCTAAAATGTGACATTAAACTGTGACGAGTTAATTTTATTTACTTTTTGCTTATGCAGGGGTCTGTTTAGAAGAAATTTGGGTCCGTTAACGGACCCTTAAAAAAATATCTTTTTATAAAAACGGACCCTTCACAAAATATTTTAACTTAAAAATGGACCCTTCACAAAATAATTTATCTTTTAATCGGACCCTTCAAAAATTTGTTTATATCTTTATTGTTTTGTTAATCGAATAAACCCTTCCCAGGGGGTGAAAAAGAGAAAGACAGATGTAAACGAACTAAGTTTTGTCTTCGGCAGAGGCTTCTTCTCTTATTCGTCCAAAATTAATATTCTGCGTTCAGCAGTATAGGCTAAATACCAAATATTTGCATGTTGCATCTCTAATTTACAGGGTTTGTTGATTTAAATCAGCTTGATTTTAATCACGATTTAAATCATGATTAAAATCAAATGATTTTTTTAAAAAAATCATTGATTTAAATCAACTGATTTTTATATATATATTATATTGATTTTAAAAGTTAAAAAACAGTGCTTTAAATTATTGATACTTTTATTATTTTCTTTTCTTAGTTTTAAAATTTATTTTAAATAAATTGCTGCATTAATTAATTTTAGTTAACGAAAT